AAGAACGAAACGGAACCTACGACGACTCTTCCACCGGGCCCGGGACCGACACACACACACACACACACATACACACGTTGTAATCCTCCCTCTCCTTCACCCCCCTTTCCTCCTTCCCTCCCTCCTCCTCTTTCCTTCAGCCGGTGCTGTGACCGGAAGAGCTGTGGTAACCGGAATGAGACACCCTCAGACCCGGTCATTATCGACAGGTACTGCCTGGGGGAGGAGGGCTGGGCCCTGCAAGGCCAGGGTGGCTGAGATCAGCCACAGAGCACAGCGGTGCCCACCCCCGAGTTGGTGGCTCTGCGCAGAGAGAACGGCCCCCTGAGTGAAGCCCCTGGTGGCACACTTAGGAGTTGTGTTCCCTGATGGAAGGACCAGGACCAGGGAGGGCAGGGATGGGGAGTGGGAGAGGCTGCCAAGGCTGGAGGGGCTAGCCGAGCCTGGCAGGGAAAGTGGGGTCTAGTCCTGGTTCCACCTCCGTGAGTTGACTCTCTGAATGTCCGTTTCCTTTGTTTGAAAAATGGGGAAATACTTGGCAGGTTTCAGTCATAGGATGTCAAGATGATGCAAGTGAAAAATGCATTCTCCCACCATGATTTTTAATTATTTTTTTGAATAGGAAATGCATATATAGGGTATAAAATCTGAAAGGTACCAGAGAGCAAATGATGAAAAGTAAGCCTGCCTCAGCCCTATGTAATGTACACACTCTTTTTTTCCTTACCTTTTTTGTTTGTAACAATATATCTTACAGGCTATTCCCTATTGGAACATAAACCCTGCCTTATGCTCCTTTTAATGGATAAACCATTCACAAAGTGCAAAAATTCAAGAACTTTAAAAGAGCTGACAGCAAAGTGTCCCGCCTCTGCCTCTGGCCCATCCATTGCCCTCCAAATAAGCGAGCATTGTTACCCATTTCATCAGTATCCCTCCTGAGATGGTCTGTGCCAGAAAATGCAGGCTTATATTCTTTTTCTCACCTTTCTCTTTATTTTTATAAAATGGCATACTAAACATACTTTTTAAAACCTTTCTTTTTCTCTAAAAGATTTTATATATATATACACACACACACACACACACGTATATATATATCAGGGAGCTTATACCAGGACACAGTAAGTCTCCTTATTCTTTTTTTGCTATTGCAAAATATTCCATTGTATGGATGGACTATAGTTTCTTTATATAGTCTATTGCTGGACATTTTAGCTGTTTTCATTTCTCTTCAGGGGTAGAATATGCTGCCATGAATTACTTTGTCCATGTGTGAGTTTACATGAAGGATGATACAGAAGCACAATTGCTAGGTCAAAGGAGATACGCATTTCCACTTTTGATAGTTATGCCAAGCTGCATTCTGTAGGGATTAGACCAATTGATATTCATACCAGCTATGCTGAGAATGCCTATGACCACGCTCTGGCCAATTAGTATGTTGTTTATCCATTCAACAAATAGTTTTTTAACTCTATTCTGTGCCAGGGTCTCTGCTGTGTGCTGTGGATTAAGCAGTGACCAAAATAGACCAAAAAAACCTTGTGTTGATGGGCTTACGGTCTAGCAGGGGAGATAGATATAAACTAACTGAATGAATAAAATGTATAGCAAGTTAGACGGTGACAATATCTAAGGAGAAAAAGGAAGCCATCAGGGAAGATCAGAGAGCTCTTAGGAAAGTGATAGTGCAATTTCAGAGTATTTAAGGATGGCCTTGCTGAAAAGATGACATTCGAACCAAGATCTGAAGGAAGTAAAGGAGTCAGCCAAGTATGACTCTGGGGGAAGAATGATCTTGGCAAGAGTGTACCCGTCGTGTTTAAAGAACAGCAAGGAGGCCCGGATGACAGGAATCAGGGGGACAGGAGGAGACGATGTTGGGGATACACTAGGTGGGGCAGGAGGAAGATGAGACCATGAAGGGCCTCGTGGGTTGCACGGAGGCCATGCTTGTTGGCCGTTGTAAGGACTCTGGCTTTTATTCAGGATGACATGGAAGCCATTGAGGGTCCAAGAAGGATGGTCCAAAAAACATAGCTGGTTTATATTTTGACACGATTTTATCTCTAGTTCCTGTGTTGACAGGGACCTGTAGGAAGCAACAGTGAAGGGAGGTGAGATAGGAAACCATTGCAGTTATCCAGGGGAGATGCTGGAGGCTGTGACAGAGAGGGATGTTACAGAGGAGGTGGTGAGAAGTGGTGGGATTCTGGATACACTTCATAGGCAGAACAGACAGGATGTGTTACAGATGGGAAGACAAGGTGGCAGAGCAAGAGAAGCCAAAGAAGGATCCAAGGCTTCTGACATGAGCATCTTTAAGGGATGGGCTCCTATTGACTGAGAAGGGAGAGATTTCAGGAGAAGCAGGTTTGGGAGGAGGAAGGTCAGGGCTTTGGCTTTGGATGTGTTATATTTAAGATACTCGCTAAACCTCCAGGTGGAGATGTTGAGAAGCAGCTGAAACCATGAGTGTGGATCTCAAGGGGAGGGTCCAGGATACGGAGGTAGATTTGAATGAATGAAATAACTGAGGGAACTAGTGTTGAAAGAAAATAAAAGTCCGAGAACTGCGTCCCAAGGTGTCCAGGGTTTAGAGGTCATGCAGATGTGGAACCAGCAAAGGAAAGTCAGAAGCCACAGCCAGGAAAGTAAAAGGAAAATCAGGGGAGTGGAGTGTCCTGGAAACCTCTATAGAAAACCTGTTCTGATAAGCAAAATGTGGTGTAGCCATACTGTGCAGTATTATTTGGCCATAAAAAGGAACGAAGTACTGATACAATGTGGATGAACCTTGAAAACATTATACTACATGAAAAAAGTCACCAAAAAAACCCATGTTATATGATACCATTTATATGAAATGTCCAGAATAGGAAATCTAGAGAGACAGAACGTAGATACATGCTTGCTTAGGGCTGCAGGGTGTTTAATCAAGGGTGTGGCATGTTTTTGGGGTTGTGTGTGTGTGTGTGTGTGTGTGTGTGTGTGGTGATAGAAATGTTTTAGAGTTGAAGGTTGTGATGGTTGTACATGTCTGTGAGCATACTAAAAACCATCAAATTGTATACTTTAAATGAGTGAATTCAATGATATATGAATTGATCTCAATAGAGATGTGATTTTTTAAATGCAAAAAAATATCAAACTATTCCAAAAGGAGGCAGTTGTCAGCTGCATCGAATGCTCATGGATATGAGAAAAAGACTAAGAATTAACCATTAGATTGGTGACCTCAACAAGAGCTATTTCAGTGACTAAAGGGGCAGAATCCTGATACGGGGATGTCTAAGAGAGAACAGGAGAAGAGAGATTAGAGACAGTGGCTAGAGGAACTCTGGAGTTTCACTCTAAAGAGGTCAAAGAAACAGGCTGGTGGCAGGAGCCCAGTGGAAGGCTGAGAAAAAAACATAGCTTGTTCATATGCGGATGACAAAAACCCAGGAAGAAATGGCAAAATGATGATGCAAGAGGTAGAAGGGGGAATTGCTGAAGCCACCATGTGTCCTCTAGTCAGCAAAGGGCAGGGCATCCCCTGCCCAGGTGGAGGACTGGTTTGAGCTGGGAGCCCAGATAAGTATCCATGGAAACAGCAGGGAAGACAGAACCTGGGTGTGGAAAGGGGTACATGGGAGTACCCAACAACACCCATGTACCCAACATAGGAGCTTGCCAACCTTCTTTTCTGATTGCTTTGTTTTCTCAGTGAGATGGGAGGATGAGGATGGAAAGGGTGTGAAATAGTTGTCCAGAAGAGTGCATGGACCATGGAAATATT